TTATGATATATTATGTTATTTAGACCAATCAGACATGTCTGAATAACATAATCTATCATAAACGTTCATGTTGGTTTATGCCGCGAAAAATACCTTTTTGTGTTATCCAAAAGTCTTTAAAACTTTTGAACCAAGTGAATTTATTTATTTATTAGTCGAAATTTATATAATACGAAGCCCTTTTTACATGCTTGAACATCAGAGCTATATACATTGAAATGGCTGGCGATCTTAGTACATATTCGGCGCTGATGACTTTAAAAAGATTTATGGCAAAAAGAGGAAGACCACTTAAAATACATTTGGATACTGGTGGAAATTTCTTTGGTGCCAAAGCAGAAATAAAAGAGGTGTTTAGAAAAAGTAGATCAGACAAGAATAATACGAAATTTTGAAAAAGAGGGTACTTAATGGATATTTAATGTTCCATTCGCGCCCAGTATGGCAGGAGTGCGGGTGAGAATGGTACAGTTCATCAAATTTCTAGAGGCTTTCGACGGCTAGACAGAGAAAGCACTACTGAAAGGCATCCCGACGGATTTACGCAATGAAAGTACACTCTGCGCATCAAGTATTTCACTATTTCATTCAGACGTAAATGTCAGATGTAAATTTCGCTAAAACATTTCTTTTATTTTCGTTTGTGTTTTTTGCTCATTACAGTTTAATAGAACCTAAGTATGGAGTTTAATAGCAAATTAAGAGGCCGCGTGATTAACAGTCAATCTCGCGAAATAATAGCCAATGTTATAGAGTTTATGAGAAGAGAAGGAAACTTTAATTCACCTTCAATACCATTTAAAAATGTAAATGATCGTGTTGCTGCAGCCACAGGAGTATCTAAAAACACTGTCGTCCGCATTTCTGGAGAGAAAAAAAGAATCGATAACCGTGAGATATCGGAATTTTCATCACCAAGAAAAACCATTAAAAAACCAAAAACAGTTAATGATATAGATGAAGCTGCACAAAAATCAAATTTTTTTTTTTATTATTAGATAGCTATTTTTGTTTCTGAGTTGTGTTCATTTACAGGCTCAATTTTTTTCCGTTTCTCCTTTTTGATTTTATATGGGGTTTCAAGTTGTTTTTGACTTATTTCGACGTAAATCACAACAACACACTTTTTTAATAAAGCAAACAAGTGTTAAGAGGTATATGTACGTGTAAACTACAATTACAAAAAATTGATATAAAACCCATGAAACCACCAACAAAAATGTAAAGCTAGCTTCCGTACTAGAACATGCTGTCATTCGTCGAGATAATTTATCGTTTTGTTTAATAGATCAAGAAATGAAAATATTCCCCTGTTATTTTTTATAAAATTATAAGAGAAATAAATTTTTTTCTAAATAGTATAGTTTATTATTTTGTAGAAAAACAAAATTTCGAAAATTTTAGTAATGTTTCAGAAACAACCGTTATTAATAATAGGTACCATTTTCCTTAATAAGGTAGAAATAAAATACAAACTATTTCCACGATTTACAAAGGCCTACAAAAAAATTATAGGTATTTTCCGCTATCCTATAAAATTTATATTTTCTGACTCAATTTCAAAAGGTTTAAGGAATTCCAAAACACCTTTTATGGCATAATAATTATTTTCAATTCTACATACTATCTTTAGCTGCTTTTAAAAACGTTCTAAGAAAGTCCAATCAGACCAATTTAATCCCTAAACTATTCCACGCTTTTAAAATTTAATTACCTAAAAATATTAAAAACTATTTAAAATAACTTGTTTAGCAGACTGTACAATAGCTATCTTAGTCACACGTAGCGCGTTCTCTGTCTGGGCGTCGAACACCTCTAGAAATTTGATGAACTGTACAATCGATAAAAACTACATATATTAAGAGTTATACTGAAGGAGATACATTCATCTGAAGAAAGTGTTGTCAATTTAAGATTTATATCTAGTGACAATAAAGACAGTTTGGAAGTTATAACGCCGATACATTTTTTAAAAAGTACAGCCAATATGAAGAACATCCCAGGAAATTTTAAAGACAAAGGCGTATACGGGAGAAAACAATGAAAAATAGCCCAAGTTAAATCTAAAACATTTTTGGGAACGTTGGATTATGGAATATCTTCCAGTTCAACAGAAGAGACAAAAATTACACGATAAAAAGAACATATTAAAATTGTTGAAGTGGTAACTATACTCAATGCAGGCATGAATAATTCATTGAAGATAGGACGTATTACCATAATATTTCCCGGAAGAGACAAACAAGTTTCAAGTGTAAAACTGAAAACAAAAAATAGTTTCCTTTTACCACTCGTTAGAGGTCAAGTCAAGTTTTGAGAATTTGGAACATATAGACAATCAATGTCAGTTATTGGAAATTAAAAGTATTAAAAATCCTTTAGGTTCTTTAATTACACATAAAATAATCTATATTCTATGGCCTAGCACTTTGGTACCCAGGCTAAGAGTTGCCTGTATTGACTACCAGGCTTAGAAATAGTCCCACAGAAAATTTGGATTAGTCGGTGTTGTGTCACTATGTCCCACGATATATGATTTGTTATAATCATGTATCAGCTATTGTCACTGCCACTGCCATTTAAAGTATGTAAAAAAATATGCATTCTAGCCCAAGGGCCCACTGCTAATTTTTACAGTCATCTGATAGCGAAATGAAATATACCCCAAAAGCATGTAAAAATATTGTACTTTACCAAATGGCACCTGTGCCAATCCCAATCCTGAGCAAAGTGGCTTAAAAAAAAATTTAATTTAAAAAAATCACATAAAGCATGACAGCACTAATTTTTTCCCTTAAAGTTTTTCAGAAATTATCATTCAAATATATCTTGATATACAGGGCGATTCCTCATCGAAAAAAAGATAGGATTTTTTATATAAAGAAACTTCATTGGAGCATCCCTTGTTAAGATACAGCTCCTTAAAGGGGGTACATAAAATTTGTTTAACAATTTTTTTTACAAGCACTAAACAAGTTACAATATTGAAATTAACCTGTCATTTTCTACTACCAAAAAGACACTTAGCTAGTAATTTATTTGGTTTACCCCATGGTTGTAAGAAGTGGGAAACGCAACCTCTAAAATTTCGTTCCAACGTAACTTTTTGTCTTATTATTTGTTTACCATTTACCATTTTATTTCCGATAGCCTGTTTCATTCCAAACAAAAAATGTCTCCTGAATTTTTTGCCCAAAATAAACCAGTTCGCAGCAAAAAATTATTTTACGAACAACTACAGAGATACATCGTTATAAATGCAAACTGGAATAATTTTATATGAAGGATCCTATTTTTTTTTTCGATGAGGAATCACCCCCTTAAATATTTTACACTTATTTAGTTACACCCTCTATATCGTTAAAGGGAAACCTTTTTTCCTCTTAACATCGCACAAAAACATCTATCCACGATTAGTAGGTAAAAATTATTAAAGATATGAATTAATTTTTGCTGATTTAAAAATTTATTTGTTTGCCTATTGTTGTGATTCATTTTTACAGGTTGTCATAGAAACGATAAAAAACTACCATGATTATGGTTTAAAAGAATTGTCTAAAAAGAGTTTATAAATATTATTGACTATCTCTGCAAATAGTCTATACAATGCCATCCTTCTTCCTTTCACACATAAACATGGTTTAAAAGGTAGGTAAAAATATTAATATTTCAGGTTTAAAAGCTAGGTTCACAATGAATTAGGATTGTAATTTTCAGGGAAAACACAATTGTAGCTGTCATGTCTTATGTGATTCTTTGAATATAAAATATATTTTTTTAACCACTTTGCTCAGGATATGGATTGGCACAGGTGCAATTTGGTAAAGTAAAATGTTGTTACATGCCTTTGGAGCATATTTCATTTCGTTATCAGATGACATTCGAAATTTGCAGTGGGCTCTCATACTATTCCTATCTGATCCCCTGATGATGTAGAAAGTATAAAAAATAAGACCTAAACTGTAATCATTGTTACACTTTTAAGGAACCGCAGCTCATGCAGCACTCTTAATTTTTGATACCAATTCGATAAGGGTTATAAAACTATTTAATGACTTAATGAAAACCTCTTGGTCTCAGTGAACAATGTACATCTTTACTCTACAAATATTTCGATATTTACTTTTCCTACGACCACTTAGGAAAGTGACACATATCACACTATATAGTCCTATGGAAAGTGCCCTATATCACACGCGTATGAATAAGAATTTACTTTCCACCCGTGTACGAATTTGCTACTTTCCGCAGCAGCTGTCACAAAATGTCAAACAAATCATTTCTATTTTGATCTATGTAATGTCCATATAATACTAAAATCGATATGATTGTTACATTATTAAAATTGTTGTACATTACATCCTAGATATTTATCTTCAACAATTAGTATTAAAATAACTAAAATATGTTTGCTCTTTATTCTGGTTAAACACATAACCGATTAGATCATTCAATTTATGCAAGGCCTATTAGCTCAGATGGTTAGGGCGTCAAACTTATCAACTTTGCCATTTGAGACCTGGCGAGCGACCGCGTTCAAATCCTGGCGAGGCCAGAATTTTTATTTTTATTTTTTTTTTTATTTTTTTTAATTATTTTTTTTTGTTTAGAAAATACGAAAATTGAATAGATACGATTATTGTTGATTATTTTTTTAAATACATTTAAATTATAATAATAACCTGGTTTTACATTTTTTGATGAAATTATTTTGTGGTCGTAGGAAAAATATTGTACATCACTTGTGTGAAAAGTAATTTTCCACACTCGTGGGATAGTCGCACTTGGCTTGTGTCTCGTGCGACAATATTTCCCACTCGTGTGAAAAATGTCACTTTCCACACTCGTAATGTAATATACTATTTCATAATAAAATGGTTCTGTTATGGAAAAAATTATATTCATTGCAATATAAAAATGATTTGTAACTAAATGGAATGGTTTAAGGGGAACCCTGGATGTACTAAATTACTAAAAAAAAAATTAAACAATTTTCTTACCTAAATAAAAATACAGAAACGACAACCTTAGTCTGCAAATATTTTGGTTAGCTTTTTGAATCTGAATCGCACATTCAAACTTTGCATTTAAACTGTTTGGAAAATTGGGACTTGTAATTAAGAATCTTCTAGAATTGTAAGTGTTCAGGCAGCAATGCGGTAGTTTTCCTTCGTGAGCCGGTTGAATTGGTAGATGGAATGGCCGGAAGGGAAGCGTGGATAGCTCTTGTTCTAATGTAGACGTTTCGAACTACAACAAAACAGAAAATTAAATAAAACAAAATAGAAAATAAAAAGAAAGGCAACAAAATAATAACTTTGCTAATGGGCGTGTTTAGTGAAATTCGAAAATATTTTTTCTAAAATCTAATCTAAAAATATTTTTTTGAAATTTTTTTCTTCTTAATCGAAATATTCAAGTCCTAATCGTCATATCGCAAAATATTTTCTCTGTCTGACAACGTGGTGTCATCTGTGCGTCTAAATCATACCCTTGATTTCGATTGCCAGATTATTTTGTTTTATTTTAAAATTGTTTTTTATTTTTTTAAAAATGGACAAAGTACAAACAGGATTAAAAGAAGAATCTTTAGACAACTTACACAAGATGGATTCTAACATGATTAAATGATTTTTTTATATAAATAATATAAACTTTATCTCTGACATTCGCAACGTAAGTACACTTTTTAAGCTTCAAATCTTTTTAAAATTATTGTATTCAAAGAGATTTGTGTTTAAGAAAAAAAATATTTTTATGCTATTGCATAGCTTTTATCGCGGGCTTTGAGGCGGCGACCGAATCAACAAATTTCGTAACGAACGTAACGAAAAAAAAAAAAAAAACAACAGCCACCACTCCGACCGGCACAGCGGTGCGGCGTTAAACAATATTAACTTTTCCTTTATTCAATAAAAGAAAATCGAAAAATCGAAAAATCGAAAAATCGAAAAATCGAAAAATCGAAAAATCGAAAAATCGAAAAATCGAAAAATCGAAAAATCGAAAAATCGAAAAATCGAAAAATCGAAAAATCGAAAAATCGAAAAATCGAAAAATCGAAAAATCGAAAAATCGAAAAATCGAAAAATCGAAAAATCGAAAAATCGAAAAATCGAAAAATCGAAAAATCGAAAAATCGAAAAATCGAAAAATCGAAAAATCGAAAAATCGAAAAATCAAAAAATCGAAAAATCGAAAAATCGAAAAATCGAAAAATCGAAAAATCGAAAAATCGTAAAATCGAAAAATCGAAAAATCGAAAAATCGAAAAATCGAAAAATTGAAAAATCGAAAAATCGAAAAATCGAAAAATCGAAAAATCGAAAAATCGAAAAATCGAAAAATCGAAAAATCGAAAAATCGAAAAATCGAAAAATCGAAAAATCGAAAAATCGAAAAATCGAAAAATCGAAAAATCGAAAAATCGAAAAATCGAAAAATCGAAAAATCGAAAAATCGAAAAATCGTAAAATCGAAAAATCGAAAAATCGAAAAATCGAAAAATCGAAAAATCGAAAAATCGAAAAATCGAAAAATCGAAAAATCGAAAAATCGAAAAATCGAAAAATCGAAAAATCGAAAAATCGAAAAATCGAAAAATCGAAAAATCGAAAAATCGAAAAATCGAAAAATCGAAAAATCGAAAAATCGAAAAATCGAAAAATCGAAAAATCGAAAAATCGAAAAATCGAAAAATCGAAAAATCGAAAAATCAAAAAATCGAAAAATCGAAAAATCGAAAAATCGAAAAATCGAAAAATCGAAAAATCGAAAAATCGAAAAATCGAAAAATCGAAAAATCGAAAAATCGAAAAATCGAAAAATCGAAAAATCGAAAAATCGAAAAATCGAAAAATCGAAAAATCGAAAAATCGAAAAATCGAAAAATCGAAAAATCGAAAAATCGAAAAATCAAAAAATCGAAAAATCGAAAAATCGAAAAATCGAAAAATCGAAGAATCGAAAAATCGAAAAATCGAAAAATCGAAAAATCGAAAAATCGAAAAATCGAAAAATCGAAAAATCGAAAAATCGAAAAATCGAAAAATCGAAAAATCGAAAAATCGAAAAATCGAAAAATCGAAAAATCGAAAAATCGAAAAATCGAAAAATCGAAAAATCGAAAAATCGAAAAATCGAAAAATCGAAAAATCGAAAAATCGAAAAATCGAAAAATCGAAAAATCGAAAAATCGAAAAATCGAAAAATCGAAAAATCGAAAAATCGAAAAATCGAAAAATCGAAAAATCGAAAAATCGAAAAATCAAAAAATCGAAAAATCGAAAAATCGAAAAATCGAAAAATCGAAAAATCGAAAAATCGAAAAATCGAAAAATCGAAAAATCCAAAAATCCAAAAATCGAAAAATCCAAAAATCCAAAAATCGAAAAATCGAAAAATCGAAATATCGAAAAATCGAAAAATCGAAAAATCGAAAAATCGAAAAATCGAAAAATCGAAAAATCGAAAAATCGAAAAATCGAAAATCGAAAAATTGAAAAATATAACCAGATATTTTTAATGTAACGTAAAATTAAACAGATGTTTATTTTATCCCATTTTTTAAAAGCAATTTCCATGGAGAAAGGATAATTGCAATTTTAATTTATTATTTCCAACAATCGATTTGAGGTTAGAAATTAGAAATTTTGACATTTTTAGATCATGAGAAATAAAAACATAATTTTAATACGATTTCAGAAAAAGATAACTATAATAAATGTCACTATTAGAAAAAGATAACGATCAACTGTCTAGTTTTACGGTATCGCAGATTCTTTAGTGACCAATAAAAATAGGTGCTTCATTATGATACGGTAAATATTGCAAAAATGGAGTGTTTTAAATAATTAATTTAAAAGTGAACTTTTTAAAGTACTATAACTTTCTTGCATGAAAAAAAAGTTTTTTGTGCTTAAACAGTTAATAGCATTAGATTCGTTAAATTCGTTTACACTAAACACGCCCATTATTACAAAGTTAAGTCTTTGGGCGACTACAAATGTTTGCCGGTCAAGATGTAGTGTTTTTTTTAATCAATTCACTTTTTTTGAAATTGAATAGTCGGTTCCCACCTTAGATAATATATTGACAGATAGGCTACCCCTGTATAAATCTATACAATGTTGATGTCGCTCTAATAAAATCATTGTTTCTTTTTCTAATGTAGGCTTTCTCGCTCATATTAGAATCTTCAGCAGTAGCGTATGTAAATGGATTGCATTGGGTTATTTTAAATGTGAAAATAGTGACTTCAAATAGATTAAAAAAGTATAAAATAATGTTTTAAAAGATAGGTACGTTTTTATTGAACTAAAAACAAAATATGACATTATTGTCATGTCAAAAAATATAATAAATATTTTATTGCTTCTAAAATATTTAGGTTTACAGCAAGGATTTGGAATTCTATAAAACATCTATCCCTGTTGAAAATCTATACAATGGTATAACTGAAGAAATACATAAAGCATTTACTTTAAACATGACAAAATATTCCTAATAAGAATAAAACACACCAATATACAGGGTGTTTTAAAAAGGTATATCATAAATTAAACCACGTGTTCTTGGGTCAAAAATAGAACGATTAAATCGTACTTACCTATATACAAAAGTGCACCCAAAAATAGTTACAGGGTGTATTAGATAAAAATTTAAATGAAATTTTTTAACATTCTTCTTAAACCGTTTGACATTTTTTCATGAAATTTTATATGACGTATTGGAATACCCTGACTAACAAAATCGAAGTAGAGGCAAAATATTTTTTTTTATTTTTGTAGGATTTTGGAGGGTGTCACCGCCCCTTTCCCTATTCAACTTTTTGTAGTATCAAATTTAATTACAAATGAAACGCCACTGGAATTCAACATCCATTTGGAAACTTTTTTTGTCTCTTAGTATTTGTTTGTAAAAAGTTTAGTTTAGACGATACAGCCATTTGAAATGAACTTAAAAATATTCAATGGAAATTCTACGTATGAAAAATATCAAAATCAAGTTTATTTTTAAATTACGAACTAATTTCATCAAAATAAAAACATTTAATTTAACAGGTGTTCAAAATTACATTCTCCTCCTGTATACACTTACTACATAGTTTTAACAATGAAAATCTAATTTTGATATTTTTGCATACGTATAATTTACATTAAATATGTCATTTTTAGTGGCTGTATAGTCTAAACCAAACATTTTACAAACAAATACTAAGAGACAAAAAAGTTTTCAAATAGATGTTGCATTTCAGTAGCGTTCGATTTTTAATAAAATTTTATATTACAAAAAAGTTGAATAGAGAAAGGGGCGGTGACACCCTCCAATATCCTACAAAAATAAAAAAATATTTTGCCTCTACTTCGATTTTGTTAGTCATAGTATTCCAACACGTCATATAAAATTTTATGAAAATATGTCAAACGGTTTAAGAGCAATGTTAAAAAAATTCATTTAAATTTTTATCTTATTTTTGGGTGCACTTTTGTATATAAGTAAGTACGGTTTAATCGTTCTATTTTTGACCGAAGAATACGTGGTATAATTTATGACATACCTTTTTGAAACACCCTGTATATTTACATATTTAGCATAGTATTTCAGGATATTAAAAAAATATATAGGAATTTAATTTACTTTTCTACTGACTTCGTTTAAAATATAAATTATCTATACTCTGTTTTTAAACTAGGAGGAGCGAATTGAAAAGACGCATTTACACAGGGAAAAGTAACTAGATTTGTTACTAAGAGCGAGTTTCGAAATATAGTCGTGTTCAAAATTTATAAAATAATTATCTTTATCGGCCTTAGTCGGCGAACGGCCAATGAGCGGTTAAGAAACGAATAAATGTCATAGAAGTAATTTTTTAATTGGTCCCAGACAACGGTCGCAAATTTCACATTATTGTGATCTGAAATGTGTGTCTAAAACGAAATGTCACTGTCAAATTAAAGTCAATATGGTTGTTGATTGATGTCAGAAATACTTTTTTCTTGCTTTTGAAATCGACTTTTTGAGAATAACTATGATCTTTTTAAAATGGATATTAAATGTTTAAGAAAATTGTTAATGGAATATCCAGATGTAGCCAGGTTAGTATAAAATATAAAGATATGTTTACATTTTTAAGGATAATTTGTTATAGGTATAAAAAGTAAAAGTTAATCAGTGAATGACAAGTGGATCACATAGTAACTGGTATCTCTTCTATGAGTAATGTGGATATTATGGCTTATTTAGTGTTA